ACAGAGGGTGCAGTGCGGGCCTAACTAGGCTCTCAGAGCTTGGCTACCTCTGCCGAGGAAGGAGTAGCAGGAGTGAGGGCCGGGAAGGGGCTCGGAGGACTCTGAGCCGAGAGGCCACGTGGCAGACCTGTGCCCCGAGCTGCCCTTTCCCCTGGTGAGCTGGCCTTGGCCTTCCTGCCCTTGTTTGCCAGGACGCCCACCTCCAACTCTGCCCCCCGCGGCCTGCATAACCCAGATACCTGCCCTAGTGCCTCTTCAGGGACAACAGTATTGAACTCCCAGCCTCTGTGCATGAGCAACTCATTTAAAAGTGAACTGATGCAGCCCCGGCGGGGTGGTTCCGTTGGTTGGAGTGTCATCGCATACACCAAAGGTCTGTGGGTTCGATTCCCGGTTGGGGTGCACCTGGGAGGCGACTGATCGATGTTCTCTCACATCGATGTTTCTCTCTCTAAAATCAGTAAAAAGATTACCCCCTCTCCCTCCAAAGTGAACCGATGCCTACTGAGGGATGGGGGTAGGGAGGATGACCGTGCCTTCTAAACACTCAGGGAAACAGTCACGTACACAAACATTGTCTGGGAGGCAGCCATGAAAACAGAACAAAGTGTGATGGGGGCAGGAAGAGAAACAAACATGTAGAGATCCTTGAATTATTAAGTGCTGCTGGTTTTACCTACATCGTTTCACACAATCTTCCTGGCACCCCACGCCTTAGAGAGAAATAACTAATGTTCATAACTAGGCAGGTCCCGTTCTAGCAATTTCACACACATTTATCGATTTCCTTACAACCACCCTAAGAGGTGGGTCCTCTTACCCCACGTTATGGATGAAAATGTGCCACAGGGAGAAGATGCCACTTGCTGAGGGTCACAGAGGCTGGCATTGAGATGTGAACCCAGCAGGCTGGCTCCAGAGCCCTTGTTCTGACCCACTTTGCAGGAGGTGGCCGAGGCTCAGGATTGAACCTGGGTCCAGCTGATGCAAATTCGGTGGGTGCCCTTCCCATCATGCCAGACTGTCTCCTGAACTGCGAGACCAGTGAGGGTTGCTGCAATAGCACAGGTGAGGAGGGCCTCCTCTAGGGCACGGGAGATGGGGAGAGGCAAGTCAGAGGCATTAGAATCCGGCAACTGAGCAGCAGCAAACTAGAGGCGAAGGGCCAGGCGCGGTGGCCTCCCAGCAGGCTATGCCTGGGACTGGGGGTCAGATCTGAGAGGAGCAGACGTATTCTCCCTGGGGCTTGTAGCCCTGGAAGCTGTGAAGTGTTGGGAGGCCTGGGCTCTAACTAGCAGTGTGATTGTATAAACGCCGTTCACCTCCTGGGGCCTCAGTCTTTTAAGACAGTGGGTTAGGGCTATGATCTGAGGCTCCTCTCGCCCTTGCTTCTCAGATTCTCACGGTTCTGCACAGGTGGCTGCTCCCCCTCCCCCTCCACTACCCTCCCCTGCTGTGCTGGTGCCTCTCCCGGATCCAGGGCTCCGCTAATCAGGAGCTTGTTGCCAGGTGGCTTGAGGCCCCCGGAGAATCCCTCCACTCCGCCTCCCACCAAAGAGCCAGGGTGATGCAACCTGCCTGCAACCGGCACCTCACTCCACAAATCTGGTCCTTCCGAACTGAAAAAGAATCCCCCACAGCCCCTCCCATGCCACCAGCCCCAGCTCGAGTAGAAAGGGCTGGGGCACAGGGACCCTGGAGGACTCTTCCAAGCTGGGGGAGGCGGAGGCTTTTGAATCCTGGAGGGGCCACAGGTCCCGTCACGGATGGGCACAAAAGCAGGCTCTGGGTGCCAAGACCTGGGTTCACAGGCAGCCACTAAGGACCCACTGCACATGAATTAGAATGTGCTTGGAAGGGCTCGGCCGCGAAGGGTGAGAACTGGCACCCACTCAGCATGACTGAGTCAAGATCTTGGGTGGGGCAGTCGGCACCAGGGTCGAACTGGTTGGGATCCAACAGCTGCAGAGAGAAAAGGCACCAGGTCCCTGCCCCACTGTTTTCTCAGTCAGCATACCCTGCACACAGCCAGCAGTATGATTCCTATACAGAGCAAGTTCGTGTCCAGTTATTAAAAAACACCCTATGCCGAAATCGGTTTGGCTCAGTGGATAGAGCGTCGGCCTGCGGACTGAAGGGTCCCGGGTTCGATTCCAGTCAAGGGCATATGCCGGGTTGTGGGCTCGATCTCCCGTGGGGGGCATGCAGGAGGCAGTCAATCAATGATTCTCTCATCATTGATGTTTCTATCTCTCTCTCCTTCTCCCTTCCTCTCTGAAATCAATAAAAAATATTTTTAAAAAATCCTATCTGACCATCCTCTCAAAAACCCATAATCCCAGTTTATGAGACGAAACCAAACGGAGGGACTTTCCACAGAATACCCAACTGGCCCTGGTCATGAAAGGCAAGGAAAGTCAGAGAAACTGCTGCAGACCAGAGGAGGCTAAGGAGATGCGATAACCAAATGTCATATGGCATCTTGGAAGGGATCCTGGGACAAAAAAAGTCTTAGGGAACAACCAGTGAAATCAGCATCAAGTTGAAGTTTAGTTAATAGAAATGTAACAATGGCAACAATGGGGGCCATTAGGTGAGGGGTGTACGAAAACTCTGTACTAGCTTTTACATTTTAATTTTTGCTAATCCTCATCTGAGGATATTTTGCCATTGATTTTTAGAGAGTGGAAGGGAGCAGGAGAGACACACAGAGAGAGAAACATGGATGTGAGAGAGACACATCGAGTGCCTCCTGCATGAGCCCCGACCAGGGCTGGGGATCAAACCTGGGTCCCTTCAGTCCACAGGCTGAAGCTCTATCCACTGAGCCAAACTGCCTAGGGTTGTTTGTGACTATCATTTTTGTGACTTTTCTATAAACCTAAGATTACTTTCAAATAAAAAGTAAAAAAAGAAACAAACAAACAAACACAACAACAAAACCTCTACCTAGTCCCAGCGCATAACCTAGAAGTTCTCAGAAGCGCGATGGTGTGTGTGAGAGAGGGGTTGGGGGGGGGTAAGGGAGATTCACTGTGTCTCCTCACTGCCAGCAGTCTGTCCAGCACTGCCCTAACCTCCCCCTGTTATTGCTCAAATCTCTACTGACAAGTGGAAGGAGGTCGGTCCTTAAGTTTCATTTAAAAGGAAGAAGACCACAGTTTTTGTTATTTTTGTTAATCCTCACCTGAGGATATTTTTTCCATTGATTCAGAGTGTGGAAGGAAGGAAGGGGGGAGGGATGGAGGGAGAGAGGGGAAGAGAGAGAGAGAGACAGACAGACAGACACTGAGACATTGATTGGTTGCCTCCTGCATGCAGCCCAATGGGGATCCAGGGATCGAACCTGCATCACAGGTACGCGCCATTGCCTGGGAACTGAACTCAAGACCCTTCAGTGTCCAGGCTGATACTCTATCCACTGAGCCACACTGGCCATAGTTTTAAAGTGCTAACTGCTTAGCAATGAAGATAAAACATACCCACCCCAATAATAATAATAGTAACAGCCTCCGTGTGTCAGGCACTAGTCTAAGCACCTGACCTGTATTAACTCATTTAATCCTAACAGACCTGAGTAGTAGATACTATTAA